GACAACAAGCACAGCCCACGGGAAATGGTAAGTTCACAGCTCAGGATTAGGGTTGTGAGGGAGAAGCATTACCCAAGACCTACAACTTGCAATTCAAGAACGAAGCTAAGGTACAGATATCTGAAGGAACAGATCCGTTGCATGAGATCAGATCCGTTGCATGCGTGTGAATTTAGACTCTAGGCCACAACGCAACGTTCCTTTACTAATTTCCGCCATTTCATTGATTGATGTTTCTTTCGAGTTTCTTGTATTATTGAGCAGTATTATTACTTCACTGAATTAATTTCCACGGAAGGTATGTGCATTGCTAATTGATTAACAGACTCGAGAATTTACGTAAGAACGTTAAACTGTCAGTGCATGGGTTCTTATTTAATTAGATATTTAAGGTGGCTCAAAACAGTTTCCAGCAGTTACATTTGGATGGTTCATTATAACCACTCTTTATCATTTGATGCTACAATCATGGTATCATTAGCCCAATCATTAGTTAACACATTGATACCATTCTCGTGACACAATAGGTTACCATAGCAGCAGTATGACCTGCTAAAAACATCCTTAATTACAGCTTTAGGGGCTTATAATTCAAAAACGGCACGTTGAAATTTTTTTTATATTATCAAATTTTAATAGGTACGATAAGACGCAACTTTTGGCAAAGGTTTCTGTACATTTAAGGTGGCTCTGAACCCTATGCACAGATGTTTTTAAAATTTTGCTAAAAGTCGCGTCTTATCATGCTTATCAAAATTTGATAATATAAACAAATTTCACAGTGCCGCTTTTGAATAATAAGCCCCTAAAGCTGTAGTAAAGGGTGTTTTTAGCATGTCATACTGCTGCTATGGTAACCTGTTGTGTCACGAAAATGATAACAACGTGTTCACCAATGATTGAGCAGTTTCTCAATACCATGATTGTAGCATCAATCAAGTGATAAAGAGTAGTTGTAAACGACCCATCTCAATCTAAGCAGCTAGAAACTGTTTTGAGCCACCTTAAGGTGAGGTCTCATTCCTTTTGTAGCAGCGGTTTGAAAATCAACAATTTGATCAAGACAACAAACGAAACAGTGCTGACTTTTCTGAACCACCT